CGCCGATTCTGTCATTTACAGTGGTCGGGAGTCTGTTGGCAAGTCAGGCTAGCATCAGATGATGCAGTCATCTTCACTGCTCACCTTGATATCCCGTTTAGTTTGAGTTGAGAAATATCTTGCGTCTTCGATGCACTAAGTAACGAATATTGCACTATTACCATCCTCCCACGTCAATCCCACGACTCTCCAGATTTTCCTCCGGAACCCCCACGAGGTCGAGATTTTTTCTTGGCATTGCCGACAACCAACAGGAGCCGGCCCAACACCAATTTACCCGTCCCGGTCCTGCATGCGGCATTCCAGAAGGATTCAAGGAACCCGGCTAGATGGGAATCGGACATTTTTCCTCTCACCGTACCGCGAGCCGCAATATCTGCAAGGGGATTTAGCCAATGCCGGCTTCCCCACAGCTTCGTTATCTCGGGACTGGTCATCGGACTCGGAACTTTTTATCTCTCTGCATCTGGCTGAATGTGTGTCAGGCCATGTGCATGGGCACGGGATGTCTTGCAATCTCATGTAACACGGATATGATTTTCTTTTCTCAGTATGTGTTTCACAAGAAATGACCTTCTCTGTTATCATTCCCATATAGTTCCTGCATTCCGGTGGTCTGGATCAGTGCTTATCTCAATTGCGTTGGCTGAACTTTTGGCGTTTACGTTGGAGAAAGCTTGCGTGGAGCTCCGCTGTGGGATCTAAGCCCGCGCATCATGTTTTCATCTATCGCGAGCCGTAAGAGCCGACCTCAGGCGGCTGATGATGTTGGCACACATACATACATATATATGAGATAACCCCCCCTTGCTGGTATATTCTTCCTTTTCCCGGGTAGTATCTGTTTCTCTTTCTGATACCTGTAGTCTGCTTCTGCCCAGCGAGCTTCTGGTGTCTTTATCTTTTTGGCGTGGCGTGGTGAACATGCTCCGATTCAACCTTCTCTCGTTTGTCTCTCTCGCCGCGTCTCTGGTGCATTGCACAAACTTCCCCTGGGAAGAAGCGCAACTAACCCGCAATGAAACTCTCACCTATCCCGACATTGCATTTGGGGATGATGCAGGCGCCAACGACACGTACACCACCGGTCCAAAATGCAAAGTCGGCCCCGGTGCTGTCGGGTGGCCGACGACCGAAGAATGGGACAAGTTCAACCGCACCCTTGGCGGCGGCGGCGTCTTGCTTAAGCCGGTGCCCCCTGGAGCAGCGTGCTACCCCGGATCATCACCGCACTACGATCCCGCCAAGTGCGCGTTTCTGTTGACGAACGCCAGCTTCACAAGGTTCTACTCGGACGATCCGGTGACTATCCTGACAGACTGGCCCGAGGGAAACACATGCGTGGCATCCCCCTTCCCAACGGGGAACTGCACGCAGGGGGGGTATCCTGTTTACGTGGTCAATGCCACGCGGGTTAGACACATCCAGATGGGGATTAACTTTGCCAGGAACAGGAACCTGAGACTTGTTATCAAGTAAGACTCAAACTCAAAAATGGGGGATTGGGGGGGAGGTTAACTCAAAATGACAGTGACTGATACAGGGCGGTTAGGAACTCGGGACATGACTTTGCAGGCCGCTCCACCGGCGCCGGGGCACTCAGCATCTGGACGCATTTCCTGAAGGATTTCGAGTATATCCCCGAATATGCCGCCGCCGTCGGCAACTATTACAAAGGGCGCGTGGCGAAAGTCAGCGCGGGGATAGAGGCGTGGGAGCTGTGGAACCACATGGCGACGTACAACATGACCATGGTTGTGCCGGGTGGCGATACGGTCGGTGCTTACGGGGGATGGTCTGCCGGCGGGGGACACAACTCTCTGAGCTCGTACTACGGGCTGGGGTCGGACAGCGTGCTGTCGTTCCAAGTGGTTACCGCAGACGGGCAGTACCGGTCTGTCTCGCCCTACCAGAACGCGGACCTGTTCTTTGCCATGCTTGGTGGTGGCGGCAGTAAGTCTCCAGACACATGAAACAGCTGTAATGGGGCTCGGGCCGCTGATGTTGGATTAGGCACCTTTGGCGTTTTGACGTCCGCCATTGTAAAGGTACATCCGCTGACACAAGTCACCAGTCTCCCGCTGGCCTTCTCGGTCGGGTCTGCCAGGGGGCTGAACTTTTCGTTCCCGGGCAACTTGTCCTTCCCTTTCCCTGGCAATTTCAGTCTTCCGGGCATGAATTCCAGTATTTTGCCCACCAGCAACTGGACGTTCCCAGGATTCCCTCGCAGCAACGCTTCCCGCCCAGGGGCTTTCGGCGGACGTGGGAGCGCACCAGTCGTGGTGAACAGCACCAGAGTCTTTTGGGAGGGCGTACGCTTATACCAGTATTTCGCCCCGGTGGTCACTGATGCCGGGGGTACGCTGTACAGCTACGTCACCAAAATCGGCAACAACGGGATTTTCACATTTACCACGACGTTCGAGATGCCCAGCATGTCGCCCAGGGAGGTCCAGACGCTCGTCGCACCCCTGTTTGCCGCACTCAACAAGGCCGGTATACCCGTGGTCAATAGGCTGCCAGACAGCACGCCTTCTTTCTCGGCAGCCGCTAGAACCGGAGCGGGAGATAGTCCAGGAAACGTCTACTTCGCGTCACGGCTCTTCCCCCGCGCGAACTGGGACAATGAGACGATATACAACAACACATTTGCCGCCATCCGGACCACGGTCGAGGCGGGATACACCTTCCACGGCATCAACCATTCGCCGAACTATACTATTGCTGGATTTCCGGGCAACATCACAGCTATCAACCCCGCCTGGAGGAGTGCGTTGATGCATGCGGATATTTTCGACTACAGTTTTAGGTCAATCAACGGTGTCGCGCCGCAGGCTGTCAAGGATGGACATGCCCGACTGAACAAATACATGGACATCATACGAGCGGCTACGCCGACAGGGGGATCGTATATCAACGAAGCGGATGTGCTGGAGCCAAACTGGCAGGAGAGTTTTTTCGGGAGCAACTACGCCAGACTGGTGCAGATCAAGAAGGCTAGAGATCCATGGGGGTTGTTTTGGGCGCCGACCACCCCGGGGAGTGAAGCCTGGGCGGTGATTACGGCTGACGGGCTGCCGACGCAGAACGGACCGCTTTGTCAGACCGGGTATGAGGAGGGGGGGTTGAAGTAGAGTTGTTAGGACGTGAACTTGTAGGAAAATGTACGTTGAAATGAGTACCTAAGTTTTAACTTTTATGGAAATCAGGTGGTTTATATCATTTCATACAGTTTCCTATTAACGTAGCAGCTCCAAGTGACAGCAACATTCAGTCAGTGACAATATACGTTTCCGCTTCTTTCTTGTGTACAATCGTTCCTCCATCCCCGAAAAAAAAAATTTCATATCTCAGTGTTGAAAGACTGCAAAATGTTTCCCAACCCATACCTCACTAAAACATCTCATTCACAGCCCTCTCAACAACAGCCCCAGCAACACCGAACCCAAGCACGATCCAAGTCCACTTGTTCGCAATCTGCCCGGCATCCGGCCAGAAAGCATTTCTCTCCTTCTTATACTCGTCGTAGTCCACCTTTTTCGCGACATCCTCCTTTGCATACCTTTCTTCCTGGTCGGCGTCCGCCTGCTTGGCGCCGCCAATATACTTCAAAAAGTAATAGTTCGCCACGGGACCGAGGATCTCAATCGGCGCGAGCATGTCGCTGGCGTACAGCAGGATGGGGAAGGAGAGGTGGACGAGTGCATCTCCCAGGTAACTTTTTTTTCTCCGTCAGCATTTCCCCTATCACTCTCTTTTTTTTATCTGTGTTGAGTATGTATTACGTGTTACTTACTTGGGATGTCGCACGAGCGACCACACACCCTCACGACACATGCTCCCCGCTTGGGTCCGGTTGTGCTTATCCAGCTGCCAATCCGCCAGCACCTCGAGCGCAAAGCCAGTGCTAAACACCCCTACCGCGATCGCCTGCAGCAGGGGATGATATCCCCCCGGGAGCACGGCGCCCTGGTGTCTGAACGGCGCGGTGAAGGGCAGCGCGATGATCGTCTGGAGTAGCGCCTCGGGGATGTACACCTTGAGCAGGGCGGAATTCCAGAAGTTGGGGTCCTTCTTCGCGGCGGCATATCTCGGATCGTCCTTGCCGCCACGACGGACAGAGCGCGAGACGAGACGGTAGAGCAACCGTCCGCCCCAGAGCGTCACCCCGGTCAGGAGCAGACGCTCTGGTCGGGAGAGGGTGGCGACGACGCCGCCGAGGGGGACCCCGTCGAGGACGACGCGCCGCCCGACAGAGGACCACCACGCGTTGACGATCTGCGCTCCGGGCCACAGCCAGTCCTTGGTCTCCACGCGATCGGTGTAGCGACCGACGGCGTACGCAACGGCTGACAGGCTGGAGTGGAGAGCGACAGACGGCAAGAGGGTGTCGCGGAATATGCCCACGTCGAACAATGAGGCGCTGAGGGGGAGGTGGCGGATGTGCGGAGGTGCGGCGTGGTCCCCCCGGTCATACGAATGGACGATGGAGGCGGCGCCCCAGGGGTTGGTTGTTTTCGTTGCCATCCTCACCACATACCCATTAGCATATTATTGATATGGCTTGAAGGCAGGTGATTGGAAACAAGTGTGAATCAAGGGGCCGGTTTTGAAAGGACGTTTAAATGGAAGCCGTCCGGACGTTCGGACATCCCATAGGTGTGAGGTGTACAGCTTGCCCCGCACCGATCATGTGTCAGGAGCACCATCTATGACGTTTGGCCATATCAGGCAATTGAGGTGTCGCAGCAGCAGCAGCAGCAGGCGCAGCACACAGGTCGGGTGCTTCGGGAACCTGACAACCGGTGCGGGGTTCACCTCACCTTACCTCCTGCTTCTTCTTCTTCGTCTTCCTCTTCTGGCCAGTCAAATGTGCTTGGACTTCGGCGCGCGCGGGCTGAATTGCACCCATCACAACCAATCAACTATCAATCGCCACCTTCTTTTTGCTTGCCAACCTGTGCGGGATTACGGTGACAACAAAAACAACAATCAAGCAAGGGCGTGTGGCTCAGTTGGTAGAGCGTTCGCTTAGCATACCTGCACCCCCCAAGTGTATGCGAAAGGTCCTGGGTTCGATTCCCAGCTCGTCCATGCATCCTCAGTCTCCCCTATTTTTTCCCCCGCACTTCTTTTTAGTCTTGTTTATTTTGTCTTAATGTTCATTTTTACCTGATGTTCTCATCTCACTGCCTGCATTTTAACGGCTCAGTACATAGTGTGACATTTTAATAAATCGCAGCTTCATTCATTGCCATTACCATTGCCCGCTCTCCCCACTAAGAATACCCTTGACTTAGCAGTCGTGCAGTGCACTGGTACTGTGCAGCCTCGTCTCACGATCGCGATGTTGATGATAGCAACTAATACATGATATTACACAGTATCCGTAGTTCGCTTCAGTTACTGCATTTTGTATTTTTGCAGGACCATGACGCAATCAGGTAATAATTACTGTGTGAGTTCGTGACAAACCCACGAAGCCAGACTAGAGAACATGTACATTTACAGCTCATGATCGGCAGATGCTTTGCTTCAATGACATGTATATTAAAACGCTCTCCAGCCTTTTATTAAGAGGCCAGTCGTCTTCAAAAGTCTATCGACCGCCGGCCCCCCGTATCACCTGTAGAACCACACACAGCGTCACACCCTGATCTTCCTCCTTCATCATGAAACTATTGCCGGAAAACCCTCATGTAGATAATGACAAACCGCTGCCAGCACCACCGCTCGTGCTCAACTGCTCCTCGTTCGGGCCCGTGGATGACAAAATAGATGCTTTTCTTTGTGCTTTCTTCGCAAGATAGACCTGCCTGACAACCTGCCTGATCGTCCCGATAGCGTAGCACGTGAGGTTAGCTTCGGAGGTGGCGAACAGCATTCTGATTTGCTCGGGTGTCCAGACAAGGTTGTATGAATTGGAAAACGAAGCTGTCTGTCGTCGCACACTGTCAGTCTACATACAGCTGTAGAACTGCTGTTAAGTGAAAATGCACACTTACCGAAGGATTAAAGTCTGGATTAACGGCGTTGGGTAGGAGGGGACAGTACACAACGTACAGCTCCCGTCCGTTATGTTCCCGTCTGCCTCGAAACACACGAACGTACTGATGCAAGAACTTTGACTCTAACTCTGCTTTTTTCTCCGCACTGTCAGAGAAACGAGGCTGAGGTAAGTGGAACTCTGCGCTAACGTCCTCCAAGTCAGCGATATGACAGTCGTCAGCAAAGTTCTGAATTCGTCGAATGGCTGACCCCTTCTGGACATCCGACGAAGCGTCGAAGGCAATGATAATGTCAGCTCCGCGCTCAGGCCGGGCCAGGATATGATTGGGTAGATTATTGGACATGCCGCTGTCCATAAGTCTGGTTCGGCCCTGGAGCTCCCATTTCTCTGTTGGGTTGTCTGGTGAAGACCGGGTATTGACGCCGTAGAAGGGATTCGGATCATGACCTGCCCTGATGGGATTGCCCCACAGCCCCTCCCATCTTTTCATCCGCGCAAAGTTGTTGAGCAGGAGCAATATGCGAGACATCATAGTCCCTTTAGGCAGCGACGCCAAGAGAGCAGAGATGTATCCCGTCAGCGGACCTGCCGGTGCGCTAGTGCACTGTCCCAGAAGCAGCGAAAGATGCTGCTCGGGAGGTCGGCCAACAGAGCGACCGGACACGAAAGAGCGTCCCCACGACCATGTCGGTATGTAGCCTTGCGCATCGGGGCTGCCTACCTCGAGCGGCGAGATCTCAAACCACTGGAAGAAGCCCTTTGCGAAAGGACTATCCAAACTGCTATCTTCATGCGTGGGAGCCATGTGCAGGGTGTTTGTTTGATGCTGTGTCAAGGCTCGCTTGGGAGGCTCTCCTTTACTAGCGGACGAGTCCTCGTGCGGTTCCACTCCCCTTGAACCCCTGGGAGCCTTTCGCACGGCTGTTAGAAAAGGCATGGGCTCCTCCGCTTTCTCAATCCCCGAGCGGGTCCAGACCTTGGAGAACTGGAAAGTAGCTCTGCTCAGTCTCGTTCTTCCCGGCTGCTCCCGAGACAAAAGTTGGTACGTCGTCGTCAGCGTCGCATACAGATCCATGATGCCCAGCCCAATGATGCCGCTCTGAGCCTTTCGTACTAGTGGACCGATCAGAAAGTAGACTCCCCTGCTGCTTCTTGCCACGGTGTTAAGGGCACGTATGCTGAGTGGGTGAGCCGGCTCCTTCGCTACGGCTAGGTAGTGTCGGGCAAGATCCGAGGCGTCGTGGTAGGCAATCGTATAGTAGTGAGCCAACGTCCAGCAGCTGCCGCTGACTCCAGCCGCCCACGTGATGCAGTCCCAGAGGCCAAGCTCTTTGCAGCCAGATATGAAGGCCGTGAAGCCATACATGGCTCTGTATCCCCCGCCAGACCCGCCAAGAGCGATCAAGGGGACATCACGAGGGTCAACTTTCTCGCCCTCTGGCAAGCCAAGAAAACTGTGCAGAGAATTGGCGCCATGTGATGAGATCTTTTGCTGTCTTAGCTCGATGAAAGCCGTCTCTTTCGGATGCAGGGCAGAGGAGCGGCGGACAGTTGCATCCCACTCAGTTTCTGGATAGGTTTTGCGATCCTCGTTGTCCCGCCGCAATTGCTTCTTGACCTGAGACAGATCCACAGCCCTCTGTAGCCATCTTCGAAGGATGACCCTGGCGCGAGACTCCGACTGAGAGGGGGTCGCTGGCTCTTGAGTTGTTATCTTGAACTCCCTAGAAGAAGCATTCCTTCTCTCTTTGCTGATCTCACGACGACTTTTGACCACGCTACTGCGCTGGCCCAATTGTGCTCTGGCCACCCTGAACCCGTTGAGATGGAGACTCTCTTCGATCTGGGGCAAGCGCGAAGATACGGGAGTAGCTTGAAAGAGTGTGACAAGCGCGCAGAGGCAATATGTCTTTAGGTAGAGGTACGCCGGCGACTGACGTATGGTGGTGAGGAGGGGCATATCCGCCTGCAGCAGCAGTCATATTTGCCAAGAGGTTTTGTCCTGAGGCGGACACAAAGAAGCAAATTCAGTCCCCCCATTGACCTGTGAGGAAGGCGCATCTTGATGACCCACATTTTCGCCCTCCTGCACCCGACAGCGTCATTTGCCTTGACAGGGACAAACGCACGGTTTAGCCTAGCGCAACGCTTCTCCACCGCAACATCGCGCCAAAAACGGCAGTCGCTTCACCCCACGTGGGCGTGTTAACGGCTCGCAGCCTTTTCGGCCAGGCGGGGCTCATCACGATTCGGATCCGATTCTTTCTCTCACCTTGAGATGCTATTCCAAGGTTGTGAGCTTATGAAGTCGCTGTGATTATGTAGCTTCCAAAAATACGCTGTCATTATCAATACCTTTCACACTGTTCGAGACCGCATTGAAGCGGCGTTCAAACCTTCCCCTGTCTGGTCAGTTCCTCTCCCTTCGCGAAGCTTTTCTCCAACAACTCATTGAACCACTTCGCCTTTTCGAGCTTGGGTACATGTCCAGAGCCACCCATCATCAACGCCATACCCGGGCGCATCACGTCAATCAGCCTCTGACCGTATCGGGAAGGAATCATCATGTCGTCTTTGGTATGCAACACTAGTATTCTCTCCCCCCCCACCTTCTCTGCAATTTGCCGAAGTTGCGCATCGCTCTTGGAGTGGAAGCCGCAAGCGATGAAATGCCCGAGAATAGCCCATTTATCGGCATCACTGTACCCCGGCATCCGCTGCTTGCTGATTTCCTGGGCAGCGTAGCGCTGGTAGTTGGTCTCGAACATGAGGTATTCTCCATCTGCCTTTTCGGTCGGAGGGAACTTGACCTTTGGTGTGCCCTTTTGCGGAATGCTGCAGTCGTCGGGTTGCACAAGCCAGTCATTGTTGAACATGGCGAGCGCCGAAGCCTGGAGCGTCTGGTCTAGCGTCTTGGGCTTCAACACGCGCAGATAGTCGACCATGTTGTCGGTGAAGGAAGACTCGATCCGTGCCGCTGTGTGGATCAAGTTCAAAGTTGAGATGCGTTCAGGGATGAGCAGCCCAAGCTCCTGCGCAATCATCCCGCCGAGACTGAGCCCTACGACATGGATTTGGCGCCGATGCGTCCAGCCAACGTGGTTCATGACGTCTACCAGATCCGTGGCCATTTCCGAAGTGCTGTACCACCACGGTTTGTCCGAGTCCCCCGCTCCTCGGTTATCTGCGACCAAGACAGAATATTTGTCCGCGCGCTCATGGCCGAAATACAGAGTTTGGCGCTGCCAAGCTGTGTGCCGTGCGGCGATGCCACATATCAACTACAGAGGTGAGCAGACGAAGGTTGATGGAAGGTCATTTGAGACACCCACAAGCACCCTGATCGGACCGTCACCGTGGATTTGGTAATGGATCCTGAGCGGTCCGCATCTTCGGCCATGGGCGACCTGGACGATATTATCGTCCGTGGGTTCCAGATCCCAGACACAGGTCGGAAAGGCCGGATGGTTGATCACTTCGGCGGCAGGGGTGAGCTGTCTGTCCACCCGTTAGTCTTCGTGGCAACAACCGGTTCTGCTTCTGAATGGTATCCGCCCGAAAACGGATCTTACATCGGTGATATCTCTGTTGTCTTCTCATCGCGCGATACCGCAGTCACTGCGGACGCCAACACAGAGGCAGGCATGTTTTCGCCGAACCAGAACACGGGTCTGCGGAGCCAAGCCTCCCTGACCGGATACGAGTTTGCCAGACTTCCCGGGCATAGCTGAAGTATTTCACTCTGCCCAAGCCTGCATGACAACCAACAAAAGTACTACCGACCCCATATGATGCTCGATATGACAGTCATCTAGATGCCGCTCACTTTTCTCCAGACAGGAACAGCTGTGGTCATGACGGTGTCGGCACAACAGGTACAACCATCCAATCGGGTCACTATGACTAAGTGCATGCTCGGCACTTGCTTTTACAAGCTTTCTCACGATATTACCCTGTGGGTAACATTGACACAATGAATCGGGGAGTTTTCTCTCGCTTAGCGGCAGTTCCCCAAAGACCCCTTACCCCACACAATATCTCCGTCATTATACAATGCACCCCAGATTTGTATGATCTATCGCAG